GAGTCTTTTATGTTAATACTAATAAACTCTTTTGCATATTTGATAGGGAAGTTGGTAGTTGAGGTTGTAGATAAAGGGTTCTTTGAAATAAATAGTTTGCTTGTAAAGTAGGCTAAAAGAGAAGAGAAAAAGATGCTTTGGAAGGTTGCTTGGTTCAGAGTTTGTGGTGGATTAGTTTGTAGGTTTTCTACTGTTTTTTTTAGTATTTTTTGAAGCTGACATCTTGTGTTTGTATGCTGAGTTAGAGAAAATATAAAGGTCTTTAGAACCATTTTCGCTAGAGTGTGAGTTGTTTTTTGTAATACTGTTTTTGGTGTTATTGCTATTAAGAGCTGCTAGTAAAAGATTTTTCTAAAGTTGATACCTCTTTTAAATCAAGTTTAGTGTATAAAACAAGTTTAATTAAGAGCCCAAGTTCACTTTACTTAGTAGTTATTGCTATATTCTTGCTAGAAAGTTTTTTGTTTTTTGTCCAGTTTTAGTAAATGATCTACAAGAAAGAGTTCAATTAATATATTAACAATTATTCTATAGTAGAACATTATAAATTGCAATTTAAAAAAAGAAACACAAACTAAAAACAATAACAGAAAAGTGGAAAGAGATATATAAACTAAGAGAAAGCATTAGAAAAGAATGATATGCAAAACTCAAAAGAAAAAATTAAAGGAAAAAAATAAAAAGAAACACTAAGAGATTTAAAGACAGAAACAGCTTCAGGTATCTAAAATATAAGCTATATACTGATCAAACAAGTAGAAATAAAAATACAAGAAATCTTCAGAAGCTTTGCAAACTTATGCTTAGAAATAAAAGAAATTCCAATAAAGTAGAAAATAGTACAAGTTTATTCAATACCAAAAGATATAGAATACAGATATAATTTAAACAACATATGCCTAATAGCACTAATTGAAAGATTTAGAAAAGTTATTATAAAGGTATAACAAAAAGATGTACCAAAGTATTTATAAAAAGAGAAATACTTAAAGAACCAAACTTCACAGGCCTTCTAAGAAACTCAACTAAGCAACTAGTACAAATTCTAAATATAATAATAGAGAAAGTAAAAAAAAAAAATAAAGAAATATAGATACTGTTATAGGATATAAAAAAGGCATTTGACTTGGTCCTTCTTGAAAGTCTTGAACTAGCATTACAAAGAATTAAAATACCCAAAAGAACAATTAAATATATATTGAAGCTTTTTCACAAGAGACAATTAAGAATAATTACAGCTTATAGCCTAATGGAAGAACTAATAGCAGAAGATAGAATAGACCAAGGTGAGGTAATCTTACTATTAATATAGCCTCTCTTCTATGACCCATTACTAGAAAGAATCCAAGAAAATAAAAAGCTAGGGTATATAGTTGAACAACAAATACAAAGAGGTATGCAATGCAACAATATCATAAGATATTGTCAAGCAGCAATTGCATATGCAGATAATACAATATCGATTGCAAGTAGTAAAAGACAATTATTAGAGATTCTAGAAATAGCTGAAGAATTCTTTGAAATGAACAATATAGAGAGAGATAAATAGATCAAAGTTGAAACTAATAATAATAAATACATAAATTGAAAAAGAAGAAAGGGTAGTAATATATGGAAAAAGCAAGATAATAGAAGAACTAAGACATAAAATAGTTCACTTACTAGGAATATGGTTAAACAGTAGAATGTGAGAAGTACAAGTAAAGAAGAAGGCAAAAGAAATAATAATTTAGACTATAAGAGATCTTAAGTACAAAAAAATAATGATAAGCCAAATTGCATATATAAACAATATAGTAATAATATCTAAATTAATCTATATGTTACAGTTAATAAAGATATTAGACAGAAGTCTAAATAAAATATATCAACCAATAATAAGTCTGGCTAAACAAAAGAGCAGTCTACAAAGAACAATAGAAAACTGTGTAATAGAGTACAAAGATCTTGGCAGCTATAGCATATTGTGATAAGAGTTAATTATAAAGCAAGTAAGTGACTTCTTATCAAGACTGAACAGACAAGACAGTCTCAAACAGCTAACAAGATTAAGAATAACACAAGACTGTCAAAAAGTAGGTGTAGTAGAAGATATATGGAAAACAAAAGAGTGATCAAAAACTGAAACATATTTGAAGAATAACTTAGCATGCTTTACAATACTCAAAGCAACAAAATTAAAAATAAATATTAGAATAGAAAGTAAACTATGAACAATATTTGGACATGATACTAAAATATAAAAACTGATAAATGCATAATTGTAAAAAAAAGGAGCAGTTAGGATAAATAAAGCTGGTCTAATATATTTGAACCAATTACTCAACACAAGGGAAGAAAAACTAATCATATGATAGCAGCTTAAAAGTTTTCAAGGCCAATCTAGTAAAGAAAAAAAAGCAGAGTGGTTCAAAGCAATTGAATCAAAAATGCTTAGCAGTCCAGAAAGTAGAGTAGTGCAAAGATACTTTGGAACAGGTGAACAAAATACTCAAGCAATACAAGTCAAATAGGGGCATATATCAGAAGATAGAAGAAGAAAAAAGTGAATAATATATGGCATATAAGACTACAGACAGTTCTAAAAAGTAGTCAAAAAAAAAAATAAAAATACTAATTGAATACTGGCAAATGAAATGCATAGAGAATGAAGTAGCAACTGAAATCAACAGATATGAAGAGTGTATAAGAAAAGAAGAACAGATAAAAAACAGTTATTAGTAATGAACAAGATTAAATAAGAATATTCATATAATTCCAGATAGATTAATAAGTAAGTATAACAATCAAATTAAGATAATGATAAACCAAATAATAGACAAAACAGAAACAAATAGATTAAAAATAAGTGAATACAAACTAAAAGATTTTACAATTATAGAGGAACTAGAAATAGAAATTATTAAATGACAAAAACTAAAAGAAAACATTAACTAAAAAATAATAGAAGTCTTAAAAAGAAATATTATGAGAAATAAGAACAAATATATAATATATACTAATAGTTCAACTAATGAAAAAGATAGTAAAGAGTTAATATAGAAGAATAATATGGATATAAGATGGGTCCAAATAAATGAAATACAAGAATAATTAGAAGAAGAAATTGTATTTGGACTAGAAGAATGGCAAACATCAACAGTAGCAGAATTGGTAACAATTTGGATAGCAATTTTAATGATACCTAAAGAGAAGCAAATAGAAATATATACAAATAGTAATGCTGTAATAAAAAACATTGGTAAAGGCCTAGAACAAGCAGTCAGAAACAAGATTATTAAGAAGAAGAATGCAATATGGATAATAAAGATTAAAAACCTTATCAAGATGAAAAACATTCAAATAAATTTAGTTAAAGTTAAAAGTTATAGTAAAGATAAATGGAATGATAAAGTCAATAGTTTAGCAAAAAAGGGAACAATGAGTAAGAAAATAGTACAAACTGAAAAAGTCAAGTGTAAAAAGATAGAGTACTACCTAAAGTGGGAAAACAAATGAACTGATATACTAGCAAGACTGCTTTGCAAGTTAGTAATGAATGTAAAAATAGGAGCAGAGTAAAGAGAAATAAAAGCAGTTAAAGATTTAAAACCAGAAGAAGAAATCACAATTTATGATTGGACCTATTTTTAAAAAAAGCTAAAGATAACCAAGAAAATACACTGTACAACAAAAAGAAGCAGTTCCAGAAGAAGTGCATTTATCAAGTACATAATAGATAAGCTTTTAACCTTAGAAGAACTTAACAAAAGAAGACCAGATATATACACAACAGTGGAATGCCAAGTATACTAAGAGAAAATAAAAGAAACATAAACACACTTGGCAGCATGTAAGAGACAAAGAAATCTCTGAAAGAGAATCCAAAAAGTGACTATTGCAACAGCATGGAAGAAATTAAAAGAAGAAGAAAAGATTCAGATTCCCCTATATGTATTATATATAGCACTCTTTAAAAAAACAGAGTTGGAAAAAATTAAAATGAAAGAAGCATTAATAAAAGGCTTAATCCTAAAAGAAATGCAAGACAAACTAGCACAGCTCTTAATTATAAAATCAAGACAACATTTTGCAAATGCAGTAATATTAACAGCCTGGAACACATTTTATGAACAAGTATGGAGAATACATTGTGAGAAAATTATCGAATAGAAGAAAAAAATTGGAATAACAGATAAAATTAAAAAAAAAAAAAATAGAAAACTGAAGGAACCAAGAAAATAAGAAAAGGCAAATCAAGAGAAAATAGAAAAGAAAAAGAAGAAATAAGAGAAAAAGGAAAGCAAGTTGAAAAGGAAGTAACAAAGACAATGTTGTAGCTTGTTATGAAAGAAAAAAGATCCTTTTATTATAAACTTTAAATAGTCAGACAAGCAGTTTACTTCTGTTCAAAGTAATGTGACAGGTTGTACTTAGATATCAGTAAGGTGCCTAGGTGATGCTAGACTTAGATATTAGAAATATTTATGTAGTTATAAATGTAATTTCAAAAACTTAATAAAGTACTAACACAACTGCTTATATATTAAAAAAAAAAAAAGTTAATTCTATTTAGTATAGTTTATAATTTTTAAAAATCTGACACAGACTTATAATTGTGACCATCTGATAGTTCTAAGATAAGAGTTACATATATCACTTTATTTTTTTTATTTCTTTTCTTTCTTCTTTTATTTTATATATTGTATTTTTTATTATTTATTATTATAGTTTTTATTTTTTTTTATAAACATTTTTTTTTCTTTATTTCTTTATAAAAAAATATTATTAAACTGATAATATCCTATTGTAGAGTAATGATTGGATGCACTTTCAGATCCTCTTTTTTTTAAAAAATTTAGTACTAATATAGACAGATCACTTGTAAGTACTCATAGAAATAATTGTGAGACATCAATTCAATATATTAAGTTTAAAAAATATTTTAGTATGAAGTTATAAAATCTTAATAAAGAGTATTGGCAAGACTGCTAAAATCAAGAAAAAAAATATACATATATTTATTTACTATCAATAACATCATCAAACTTATATGATCTTAAATCTATACAAAAAGAACCACCCACAGACTCTTTTCCTTTTTTATTCTTTTGAAAATTCTTCTTTAATATACTATTAGACTTATTATTTTGAACATCTTTATTTTCAAATTCATTTTTATTAGTATTATTAAACACATCAATGGATTTACCACAAATTCAACTCTACTAAAATTCATTAAAATTTTTAAAAAATCATTACTAATGGACATTTAAATTTCATAAAATAATAATTAACTTTATAGATATTGTACAAAACTATAAAGCTAAGTATTATTTATACAAATAAAAATAATCATTAAAGAATAACAATTTATTATATTATTAAATAATTAATCTTATAAAGTAAAAAGAATAAATGTTCTCATAACAACCTAATACATGTAAAAACCTCAAATTAGTCAATAGTAATTAGAGTTAGAGTATAGGTTTTAGTTATTTTTATTAGTTGTACTAATTGAGTTGTTACAAATAAGTGCATAACAGATTGTTATAATTAGATTCATTCAAATAAAAATTACTATTTAAAATTCTTAAAACAAAATAAAAAATCTTATCTATTATTTAATAGTTAAAATTATATAACTACTACAATGTTAGCACTTTCAATAGTAAGTGATTAAATTAGGAATGTTAAAAATTTAGAACTAGTTACTATGACTTTAAGTCTTTTAAATTAAATTAAGTGTTGATGACATTGTGTTAAAGATAAAAAATTATTAAACAAAAAAAATCCTTAAAAAGAACATAGAAAAGATTACAATTTATAACTAAAATAAATAGTAAAAGAAATATAGGACTGCAGATTTAATTTAAATGATGATAAATATAATAAAATTTAAAGGTGCTAAAGATAGCATTTAAACATTCATATAATTAACAGGTAGGTTTTAAATATTGTCATAATCTAGAATAAGATTGTCGATAATTTATTTAAAGAATCAATTGCATAATTAAAGTAATATATATATTACATAGAAAATGCAGTATAATTAGTATAATTAATATATGTAACATAATTAGAAGATTTAATATAATTAGTAACTTTAACGTAATTAGCAGATTTAGTGTAATTAGTTGATTTAGTGTATGTAGCGTAGTTGGAGTAATTAGTGTATATAGTGTATTCTGGGCATATAGTGTATATAGCATATAGAGAAAAGTATATAAGCAATACGTTCTAAATGTAAAAAGACAAGCCTCACAGTGTAGTTAATAAAGATATACCTACCCTTAGTACTCGCCCAAATCCAACGCCTCTTTTGAGTACTAATCCGTCAGACGTTACGCGAGAGACTTTCGTTTCTCTATGAATAGGGGTTTTTAAGGCACCAATTTTCCCGTAATACGACAATATAAATTTTATAATTGCTTTTACTAACTACGCCTTTTATTATTAATTTCTAATGATTCTTTAACACATTATGCATACGATACACTAATGGTGAGTAATATATTAATGTAAAGGATGAATCACCAAATATGATTAAGACACATTCCCTTTATTTAATCAAATAATGTTTCAATGCTAATATAATTTTTTCAATGTATTGCAAATTCGTTCTAGTGTATACTGCTTTACACTAGTTACTACAAGTTATGATCTTTGTGTGTCAATCTTTCAAAATATATTTTTTTAGCGGGAGTGTGGAAATATCAAAAATAGGATGCGAAATATCAATTTCCTATAATTATATGCTGCTTGCAAAGCTTTTTACAATATTATATTGCTCTTCAAATTTAATATATTGGAAATTAAGGCTAAATTTCATGTGATATACGTACGCACATACATAAAAATTTTATGTGGCATGACCAGGATTACAATAGAAGTGAAATTCGTAAAATATAAAATTTATTAGGTGAATAATTTACACTAGAACAATCTTATATCAAAATAGGTACCTAAATTAAGATAATTCATTTGATTCGTATGTTAATATTAGAAAGTAACGAAGTTAAAAATGATATGAGAAAGATCTAGTACTATAGTATTGGCGACTAATTACTTATACATCATGTTTTGTATTATAACATGATCATGAAATCTTGGATACTGGGTAATGATCTACTATTGGTTCGTTAATATTATTATCATGTAGATTATTTCTACGGTATGTATAACAAACATAAGATACTAGAACAAGTCCCACCAATCCTGAAATTATACCAATAACTCCACCAACGATACCAAAAATTTCGCTAGGAGTAATATTATTACTTTGATCAAATCGAGTTAGGTTTGAGGTTGGAGTTTGAGCTTGGGTATTATTTGGAATAACATATGAATTAACCCATTTATAATTATCTTTTTGATTTATATCAAGAAGAGAAATATTATTATTATAGCCACTATAATAAATGGTAGGATAATAAGGATTATAAGTATCATAGTTCCCTAAATTTAAAATAATTATTAATTTCAAATAAAGACTCTGTAACTTAAAATAAAATTTCTTATATAATAGATTACCAAATGCAATAATAACATAATTATTAATTAATGTAGCGGTATGATAATATAATCCAGGTATAAAGCCGTCGTTCAAAGCCGTAATATTTGCCCATACAAAGGTCTTAATATTTAAGGAAGTTATTCGACCTAGTGGATATCCTCCTATTACTAAAATTAGGTCATGCTGAGCTAAACAAAAGTTAACCGTTGAAAGCGTTGTTAATAATCGTACTGTAAATAATTACTTCTATGTTATTATGTAAGTTTATAAATTTATACAATACGTATTAAAGTTGAAGAGTGACCATATGGAAGTGTTGGAATTTGCCCTGAAGTTGGCTGAAATATAATTGGTCATATAGTAATTTTTAAACGGTTTAGCTAAATAATTTAGCTATTGGATATTAAAAATTACATTAATATTTACAATTGTTTTCCATGAGTTGTCATTTATATTAAATGCTGGTATCTGTTAAAAAAATAAGGTGATAAGTATTCTAATTAACAATTATAATTATTAAAGCAAACCTGTGTCATTGAACTACTAATAGAAGTATTTCTATTTAAATATCCACCAATATAAAGAATATCACCATTTTGTAACAAGGTTGCAGTGTATTCTGATAGTAAAGAAGGTGCAGATGACAATAACAATGATGAAAATGTGAAACTTGAAGTATTTAACATTATAATACTTTGAGTAATACTGATTTGAGTGCTTCCACCAAAGAAATAAATTGTGTTATTTGAAATAACGCCTTGAACATAAGATATGCCTGTCGATGCCAATATTGCATTTCCAGAAAAATTAAGAGTAACCCATTGTTCTGTTAACGTATCAAATTTATCAACACGACGTAATGAATTGCCATCACTAAAAAAATAAATAGAATTATCGTTAACAACAGAAGCACCATAAGTTCGGGATATACTTGTAACAAAACTAAGATCAGTCCAGTGCATTGATGAAGTATTGATTAAATCAAAAGACTTTGAAACATCAAGATAAAAAAAAGTATAGGAAGAAGATACGGAAGATCCACCATAAAAATAAAGCTTATCTTTAACTAAAACTGCATTGTGCCCGTATCTTATAGATGGTAAAAGGGCATATATGCCATTTTCCAGATGAATGATGTATAGAAAAAGAGTAATTAAAACCAAAATAAATTTTATTTTCATTCTCAACTTTAAAGAAATTTTTAAGATTCTGGCGCTAAAATTTAGGCTTTTAATTGATTTTTAAGATCTGAAGTTAAATGGATTTCGTAAAATTTACCCATGATCGTAGGACACACGTCCCATTCTGATTATAATTAGTTATAACTAAGTAAATGAAATATTTCCTTTTTTAATTTCTCATTTATTATAAAGCTTCGGTGTTCGAATTTTATCAATATTCATATGTATGTTTATGTTTGTGTATATTAAAAAATAAAAGTAACAAAATGGTAGGGTGTTACTCAACTAATAAATCAATCATTATTTAGGGTATCATGATTTCGGATTTACCGTATTTTCGCGGAATAACGCCCATGGGCGTTATTTCAAATTTTAGCCCAGAATAAGCTTAATTCGAGAGTTACACCCTGCACGTTATTCTGAGAAATCATAGTAATTAAATTCTAAATTTACATTTCTTAACACAATATTTAACAAAAGTACATACTATTTGTTTTTTTAACCTGAAGTCCCAATTAGCTAAACATGGGCAATAGGCATTTTTTTTAAAATGATTAACGATTAATAATTATTTAATTCATTTTTAAAATTATTTATAAATTGGCTCTATTACAATATAGATTTAGTTGAGAGTTTCAAGTTAAAAAATTGTATGCACTTTCATTAGATACTTGTGCTAAAGCTGGAAATTCAATCTTATCATTACGGCGCATTTGCGGAATTAAGCACAGACAATTGGTCCCTAATCTAATTATTTGGTCTCCAAATTAAATTTAGTTATCAAATTATGTATTGTGAGCCCCGAAATCGGTCACAGTCTCACGTGACCGATCGTCGAAATTAGGTCCCGACGCCTACCCGAGTAACTGGTCACATGAAAAGTAAGAGAAATCTTACTTTTCTTACTTTTATTACTTTGGTTACTTCG